AGTGTCAGGAGGCAGTAAACAGGTTCATTCCGGCCCAAAAGGAAAAATCCGAGAAGCAAATGAAAAATCTATGGTTTAATAGGGCATGTATGGAAGCAAAGGAGCTGAACAAAAGGGCATGGAGGAACTTCCGAAATAACAGAACACCAGAAAGTAGAGAGAGATACCAGAGAACCAGGAATGAGTATGTTATGGTGAGAAGAGAAGCAGAGAAAAATAATGAAAATGATATAGCAAGCAAAGCCAAGACCGAACCAAAACTACTCCACAGCCACATCAGGAGGAAAACAACAGTGAAAGAACAGGCATTGAAACTTAGAACAGATGAGGACAGGTATACAGAGAATGACAAAGAGGTGTGTGATGAACTCAACAAGAGGTTCCAGGAGGTCTTCACAATAGAACAAGGTGGGGTCACTGTGCTTGGAGAGGAGGGCAGTAAACCAGGCGGCCTTGGAAGGGTTCGAAATTACGAGAGATGAGGTCAAGAGACGCCTGCTGGATCTGGATGTGAGAGAGGCTGCTGGTCTAGACGGGATTTCACCATCGGGTATTGAAAGAGTGTGCAGAGGCACTCTGCTTGCCACTCTCCATAGTGTATAGTAGGTCACTGGAGACGGGAGACCTCCCAGAAATATGGAAGACGCCGAATGTGGTCCCAATATACAATATGTGGTCCCTAGGCAGTCTCCGTGGTGTAGTGGTAAGACACTCGCCTGGCGTTCCGCGAGCGCTATGTCATGGGTTCGTATCCTGGCCGGGGAGGATTTACTGGGCGCAATTCCTTAACTGTAGCCTCTGTTTAACGCAACAGTAAAATGTGTACTTGGATGAAAAAACGATTCTTCGCGGCAGGGGATCGCATTCCAGGGACCATAGGATTAAGGACTTGCCCGAAACGCTACGCGTACTAGTGGCTGTACAAGAATGTAACAACTCTTGTATATATCTCAAAAAAAAAAAAAAAAAAAAAAAAAAAAAGGTGACAGACAAGAGGCACTGAACTACAGGCCAGTGTCCTTAACTTGTATACCATGCAAGGTGATGGAGAAGATTGTGAGAAAAAACCTGGTAACACATCTGGAGAGAAGGGACTTCGTGACAAATCGCCAACATGGGTTCAGGGAGGGTAAATCTTGCCTGACTGGCTTAATAGACTTCTACGATCAGGTGACAAAGATTAAGCAAGAAAGAGAAGGCTGGGCGGACTGTATTCTCTTGGATTGTCGGAAAGCCTTTGACACAGTACCGCATAAGAGGCTGGTACATAAGCTGGAGAGACAGGCAGGTGTAGCTGGTAAGGTGCTCCAGTGGATAAGGGAGTACCTAAACAATAGGAAACAGAGAGTTACGGTGAGGGGTGAGACCTCTGATTGGCGTGAAGTCACCAGTGGAGTCCCACAGGGCTCTGTACTCGGTCCTATCCTGTTTCTGATATACGTAAATGATCTCCCGGTGAGTATAGACTCATTTCTCTCAATGTTTGCGGACGATGCTAAAATTATAATAAGGATTAAGACAGAGAAGGACTGCTTGGGGCTTCAAGAAGACTTAGACAAACTGAAGGAATAGTCGAACAAGTGGTTGTTAGAGTTTAACCCCAGCAAATGTAATGTAATTAGGTTAGGTGTAGGGAGCAGGAGAACAGATACAAGGTATCATTTAGGAGATGAAATTCTTCAAGAGTCAGAGAGAGAGAAAGACCTGGGGGTTGATATCACGCCAGACCTGTCCCCTGAAGCTCATATCAAGAGGATAAGATCAGCAGCATATGCCAGGCTGACCAACATAAGAACGGCATTTAGAAACTTGTGTAAGGAATCATTCAGAACTTTGTATACCACATATGTTAGACCAATCCTGGAGTATGCAGCTCCAGCAGGGAATCCATATCTAGTCAAGCATAAGACTTAACTGGAGAAGATTCAAAAGTTTGCCACCAGACTAGTACCCGAACTGAGAGGTATGAGCTACGAAGAGAGACTACGGGAGTTACACCTCACGTCGCTGAAAGACAGAAGAGTTAGGGCGGATATGATCACCACATCCAAGATTCTCAAAGGAATTGATAGGATAGATAAGGACATGCTATTTAACACAAGGGGCACACGCACAAGGGGACACAGGTGGAAACTGAGCGCCCAAATGAGCCACAGAGATATTAGAAAGAACTTTTTTAGTGTCAGAGTGGTTGACAAATGGAATGCACTAGGAAGTGATATGGTGGAGGCTGACTCCATACACAGTTTCAAGTGTAGATATGATAGAGCCCAATAGGCTCAGGAATCTGTACACCTGTTGATTGACGGTTGAGAGGCGGGACCAAAGAGCCAGAGCTCAACTCCCGCAAGCACAAATAGGTGATTACACACACACACACACACACACACACACACACACACACACACACACACACACACACAGAAGGTGGTGGAGGCCAAGACCGTCAGTAGTTTCAAAGCGTTATATGACAAAGAGTGCTGGGAAGACGGGACACCACGAGCGTAGCTCTCATCCTGTAACTACACTTAGGTAATTACACACACAGGCTAGGCTGGTACCCCGAGAACAAAGATCGACTGACGAAGACTGTACTCAAGAACAAGACCAAAAAAGAAGCCTCGCTGCCAAAACCAATAATCCTAGATGGGAGTGGGCAACCCTCCACAAACAGTCCCGCAAACCCCAGAGCACCTTCCACCCACATTGAAACCCTCCCTACCCCAAGCACTCCTTGACCCCCCCACCACACCCAGTCCCAACCCTCCTTCCCACCCTTCCCCAAAGCCCTTCCTGTAACCCCCGTTTCCCCTGGCCCCCCCCTCTCCAGAACACTCCCAACCCATATTAACTATCTTCTTATATATGCTTACAAAATAATAATATTTACAAATGAAATACTACACAACATAGTTCCAGAGAGAGAGAGAGAGAAAGAGAAAGAGAGAGAGAGAGAGAGAGAGAGAGAGATCACACAGCCCCTTAACGGGAACACAACACAGTTGTAGCAGCGTTATAATCACCGGAGTAAACACGTCCGAATAAAGTACATGAAAATGTGTAGCAAAAACACACAACAATTACATACACAAACACGAACACTGGCAGTTACACAACATCGTAGCTAAGTACGCAGCTAGGCACACAACACACCCTAACTCAGTAAGTACAGCTGGGCACACAACACACCCTAACTTTGTAAGTACAGCTGGGCACACAACACACCCTAACTTAGTAAGTACAGCTGGGCACACAACACACCCTAACTCAGTAAGTACAGCTGGGCACACAACACACCCTAACTTAGTAAGTACAGCTGGGCACACAACACACCCTAACTCAGTAACTACAGCTAGGCACACAACACACCCTAACTCAGTAAGTACAGCTGGGCACACAACACACCCTAACTCAGTAACTACAGCTGGGCACACAACACACCCTAACTCAGTAAGTACAGCTGGGCACACAACACACCCTAACTCAGTAAGTACAGCTGGGCACACAACACACCCTAACTCAGTAAGTACAGCTGGGCACGCAACACACCCTAACTCAGTAAGTACAGCTGGGCACACAACACACCCTAACTCAGTAAGTACAGCTGGGCACACAACACACCCTAACTCAGTAAGTACAGCTAGGCACACAACACACCCTAACTCAGTAAGTACAGCTGGGCACACAACACACCCTAACTCAGTAAGTACAGCTGGGCACACAACACACCCTAACTCAGTAAGTACAGCTAGGTACACAACACACCCTAACTCAGTAAGTACAGCTGGGCACACAACACACCCTAACTCAGTAAGTACAGCTGGGCACACAACACACCCTAACTTAGTAAGTACAGCTGGGCACACAACACACCCTAACTTAGTACAGCTGGGCACAAAATATTAGAGAAACAAGCACATGACTGCTAGCATAGCCGCCGTCAGTGCCATTACAGCAGGAGATGTATGGGGCAAGATACACAATACTCACACCACACAACAACCTCTCCAACTGAACAATATAAAACAATAAATTTTACACACAATGCCCTATGTGTTGATTCCTAGGATCAACGTCCCCACGGCCCGATCTCTGACAATGCGTTCAGGATGATGGTGTGATAAACTAGACTGTTCGTTGGGGCTGCTCGCAGTCTGACGTATGAGTCACAGCCTGGTTGATCAGGTATCCTTCGAAGGTGCTCTTGAACACTGTGAGGGGTCGGCCAGTTATGTGTACAGGAAGAATTGAAAAGTGTCGGGGCCTCTGATGGTGATAGAGTTCTCTCTCAGCGTGCCAATTGCACCTCTGCTCTTCAGTGGGGCAGTTGTGCACATCCTGCCATGCCTCCTGGTCTCATGTGGTGCTGTTTCCGTGGGCAGATTTGGAACCAGTCCCGCTAATATTTCCCATGTGTAAATTATTATGTATCTATCCTTCCTGCGATCTAGGGAATATAAATTTAGGGAGAGTTTTAGACAGTCCCAATAATTTACATGTTTTGTTCAGTGGATTCTAGCAGTAAAAGATCTTTGCACGATCTTTGCAGGTCAGCAATTTCTCCAGCTCTGAATGAGGCTGTTAGTGTGCAACAGTATTCCACTGTAGAGAGCACTAGTGCCTTAAAGTATCATCATTGGCGTGTCATCTCTTCTTCGGAAGTTTGTTATCCAACCTGTCATCCTTCTTGCAACCGTCACAGCAACTTCTTTTGTTTCTTTAAAGTAAGGTGATCATGACTACTCCGACATGAATACTCTTTAGGGTAAGTATAAACTAGGGAAATGAAATGAAAATTCTGAAGGTTTTTGTGTTTACACATTATGAAGGAATACAGATGGAGAAGCCAGGAGGGTTTGAGACTATATACCCCCACTACACCTGAGTACATTAAGAGCCATAAACAAAAGGTGGGATGATTAAATGGGAATTCCCCATTTGTTAGAATGTACTACATATAATTATTCTTTACGTAATATTATAACCATTACATTTCTTACCAATTATAAAGCTATCAGGACTTACTCTAATATTATGTAATTCACTACTTGATATAAGTGAAGATTCAATAATATTTCTTTCAGTAACTGATTTACACTCAACAATCTTGCATGAATTAGTCGTGGGCGTGAAGGATCTTGGTGGGCGTGAAGGATCTTGGTGGGCGTGAAGGGTCTTGGTGGGCGTGAAGGGTCTTGGTGGGCGTGAAGGGTCTTGGTGGGCGTGAAGGGTCTTGGTGGGCGTGAAGGGTCTTGGTGGGCGTGAAGGATCTTGGTGGGCGTGAAGGGTCTTGGTGGGCGTGAAGGGTCTTGGTGGGCGTGAAGGGTCTTGGTGGGCGTGAAGGGTCTTGGTGGGCGTGAAGGATATTGGTGGGCATGAAGGATCTTGGTGGGCGTGAAGGGTCTTGGTGGGCGTGAAGGGTCTTGGTGGGCGTGAAGGGTCTTGGTGGGCGTGAAGGGTCTTGGTGGGCGTGAAGGGTCTTGGTGGGCGTGAAGGGTCTTGGTGGGCGTGAAGGGTCTTGGTGGGCGTGAAGGATCTTGGTGGGCGTGAAGGGTCTTGGTGGGCGTGAAGGGTCTTGGTGGGCGTGAAGGGTCTTGGTGGGCGTGAAGGGTCTTGGTGGGCGTGAAGGATATTGGTGGGCATGAAGGATCTTGGTGGGCGTGAAGGGTCTTGGTGGGCGTGAAGGGTCTTGGTGGGCGTGAAGGGTCTTGGTGGGTGTGAAGGATATTGGTGGGCGTGAAGGGTCTTGGTGGGTGTGAAGGATCTTGGTGGGCGTGAAGGGTCTTGGTGGGTGTGAAGGATCTTGGTGGGCGTGAAGGGTCTTGGTGGGCGTGAAGGGTCTTGGTGGGCGTGAAGGGTCTTGGTGGGCGTGAAGGGTCTTGGTGGGCGTGAAGGGTCTTGGTGGGCGAGCAGGGTCTTGGTGGGCGTGAAGGTTCTTGGTGGGCGTGAAGGGTCTTGGTGGGCGTGAAGGGTCTTGGTGGGCGTGAAGGGTCTTGGTGGGTGCGAAGGGTCTTGGTGGGTGTGAAGGGTCTTGGTGGGCGTGAAGGATCTTGGTGGGTGTGAAGGATCTTGGTGGGTGTGAAGGATCTTGGTGGGCGTGAAGGGTCTTGGTGGGCGTGAAGGGTCTTGGTGGGCGTGAAGGATCTTGGTGGGCGTGAAGGGTCTTGGTGGGCGTGAAGGATCTTGGTGGGCGTGAAGGATCTTGGTGGGTGTGAAGGATCTTGGTGGGCGTGAAGGGTCTTGGTGGGCGTGAAGGATCTTGGTGGGTGTGAAGGATCTTGGTGGGCGTGAAGGATCTTGGTGGGCGTGAAGGGTCTTGGTGGGCGTGAAGGATCTTGGTGGGTGTGAAGGATCTTGGTGGGCGTGAAGGATCTTGGTGGGTGTGAAGGATCTTGGTGGGCGTGAAGGATCTTGGTGGGTGTGAAGGATCTTGGTGGGCGTGAAGGATCTTGGTGGGCGTGAAGGGTCTTGGTGGGCGGCTGGTGGAATGTGTTCTGAGAGCCTTGTGCTCCTGTAACCTTCTTTACTAATACTCTAAGACTTTACTAGCAATACTTTACTAATACTTCTTTACTAATAGATATTTACTCAATACCTTTATCTCTTCCTCATTTCTTTTTTTCCTTCTCCACTTCTACTTTCTAGATGCAGCTTCCTGATGACTTGGTTCTGATCTCAAATATTTTATTTTTGTTGTTTGACTTCATATGGTGTGATGGAGGGCGAGTTGAGACGGCACTCTCGTCTGCCCATAGAACTGGAGTACCTCACTTTTTCCAGCGAGGGGGAAGCTTGTATGTCAAAGTTTACCTTCGGTACTGAACTGATCTCGACCGACTGATGGTTCTGAAGTGACGATTGCGGGGTTTTATATCCATGATGCACCCCTGGGGGGCGGCCGTCTTGTCGGGTTCCCGGTCATCTAATTGTGGCTCCATGGTGGGTCTAGTGGCTTAGTCATGGATGAAATTTTTTCTTGATCGTTCTGTGCCCACTTCTAACCTTAATTTAACTTTTCAAACTCATAGGGTGGGTAACGAGGCTCCGAATCTGACTGTGATGAAAGGCCCCCAGCTGTATCCCCCACTACATTGGGCCCAGACTTAGCTACTTTGCTGACTTTCCCAACTACCTCTCTCTCTGCTTCCCTCCCACCTCTGTGGTGGGATTGACCCCCCAAGCCGCCAGTGGTGACCACCTCATCCCTGGAGTGGCTATGTCTCTCGTTGTAACAACAGTGTGTTTTACCCCCTCTCTTACTAGGGGTGCTCAGCGCCGTCACCTCTGCACTCGCATGCGCATGATTCCTTTCCAATCTACTACGTTTCAGGATTTGTTTGATCCTGCTAAGTGGACTTAGTGTTTTGATTTTTGTCACATTGCTTGTACACGTCCTGAGGATTTATTCATCCATAAACCACCTAGTTGATTCAGTGGATATTTTTGTCACTTTTAACCCCATCCAGACTGGAACATGTGTAGTTGCCATCCCTTCCCAAGAGGTGGTCAACAGCCTGGCTTTGTTGTCTTGCACTGGTGAGATCCCAATTCGGATCTCCATAAATGCGCAGTTAAGTGCCAACACTGGCACAGTTCTTCTCCGGCACTATGTCACGACTGGTGATAGGGCAGGGGCCTGGCAGCTGAGTGGACAGCGCTTTGGGTTCGTAGTAATTAGGTTTCGGGTTCGATCTCCGGTGGAGGCGGAAACAAATGGACACAGTTTCTTTCACCCTGATGCCTCTGTTCACATAGCAGTAAATAGGTACCTGGTAGACAGCCGCTATGGGCTGCTTCCTGGGGGTGTGTAACAAAAAGGAGGTTTGGCTGAGGACCGGGCCGCAGGGACGCTAAACCCCGAAATCATCTCAAGATAACCTCAAGAAGGAACCTCAAAGACTGCCAAGAGGATATTAAATTCAGAATGTGTCAGTATGCCTGTGGCCCATCCTACTGCACCTTGTACTCAATAACCTTGGCATCACTGACCTGTGCCCCATAACCCTGGTGCCACTACATGTGATCCTCCCTAGTATGCAGTGTTCTTCTTCATGTGATCCTCCCTAGTATGCAGTGTTCTTCATGTGATCCTCCCTAGTATGCAGTGTTCTTCATGTGATCCTCCCTAGTATGCAGTGTTCTTCATGTGATCCTCCCTAGTATGCAGTGTTCTTCTTCATGTGATCCTCCCTAGTATGCAGTGTTCTTCATGTGATCCTCCCTAGTATGCAGTGTTCTTCATGTGATCCTCCCTAGTATGCAGTGTTCTTCTTCATGTGATCCTCCCTAGTATGCAGTGTTCTTCATGTGATCCTCCCTAGTATGCAGTGTTCTTCATGTGATCCTCCCTAGTATGCAGTGTTCTTCTTCATGTGATCCTCCCTAGTATGCAGTGTTCTTCATGTGATCCTCCCTAGTATGCAGTGTTCTTCATGTGATCCTCCCTAGTATGCAGTGTTCTTCATGTGATCCTCCCTAGTATGCAGTGTTCTTCTTCATGTGATCCTCCCTAGTATGCAGTGTTCTTCTTCATGTGATCCTCCCTAGTATGCAGTGTTCTTCTTCATGTGATCCTCCCTAGTATGCAGTGTTCTTCATGTGATCCTCCCTAGTATGCAGTGTTCTTCATGTGATCCTCCCTAGTATGCAGTGTTCTTCATGTGATCCTCCCTAGTATGCAGTGTTCTTCTTCATGTGATCCTCCCTAGTATGCACTGTTCTTCATGTCATCCTCCCTAGTATGCAGTGTTCTTCTTTGCCTTAGTTTTTTCTTCTCCATGTTTCTGTTATTTGTGTTTTTGACTGTTTTTTCTTCAGTGGAATATTCGTAGCTTTTATGCCAACTTCCACGAACTCCAACTTCTGATCACACGGTTTTCACCGCTCTGTGTCTGTCTCCAGGAGGCGATGCTTGGCGCTCGTCCTGGTCACTTCCATGGTGTTTACTTTCTCTCCTCCCCCCCCCCCCTCCCCAACTTTTGTTGCGACCCTTAACTTTGCTGTTCTCTTATCTGTAATGATATACCCTTTGTCCCCCTTCTTTTACAGCCGTGTGTTCATTCCTCTAATGTTCGTATCATTGTGAATAAATGGTATACTGCTTCATTTATCTCCCCCAAATGTCCCGCTTTCTCTTGCTGATCTTAAACACCTGTTGGTCTCCTTACCGGAGCCTCGTTCTCCTGTTGGATGATTTTAACTGTCGGCATACCCTCTGGGGTGATGCTGTGACAATTACCCATAGCTGCCTTCTTTAACTTTTTGTTCTCTCTTCTATGTCTCTTCTGAATTCTGGTGAACCCACTCATTTTGACTCCCGCACTCGGACCCTCTCCTGTCTTTATCTTTCTGCTCGTCTTCTCTTTATTTAGATTTCACGTGGCGGGTTCTTGATGACCTCCATAACAGTGACCGTTTCCCCATCCTTGTCACCTGTTTCTCTCTCCACCCTCCCCTCTCCCTCTCTAGGTGGCAGTTTACCAAGGCTGACTGGAACCTCTTCACCTTACCTGCTACTCATTCCGACCTCTCTGATCTGCCTCTCCCTCAAGCCCTCCTCCTTTTTCATGACACCATATTCAACGCTGCCCTCCGCTCTGTTCCTCGGTCTACCTCCCGGGGCACGCGGAAGTGCGTTCTCTGATGCACAGGAAGTGCATCAGGGAATGTGCCTGGAAAAAATACCGACGCCAACAGACTCCTGATTCTTTTATTTCGTTTCGGAAGGCGAGTGCCGTGGCCCATAGGGCCATACGTACGGCTCAGCGAGAGAGTTGGAAATCTTATGTCTCCACCATTACCGTTGACACTCCTCTGCCCCAGATCCGGAAGACAATCCGTAAGATAGTGGGTAAGTTTGTTCCAGACGTCTAGCCAGTCCTTTACCTCCATGGTTCTGTCGTGGTGATCTGGTGTTGATTACATCCGAACCGTGTTCGCACTTTTCAACCGTTAGCTCCAGTTCTCACCGTCCTCCCGATTTTCTTACTCGTTGGCCCTTTCTTGAATCTCGTTCCTTAGACTTTCGCACCCGTCTTCATCTTCCCTATAATGATCTCTTTTCTCTCTCGAAACTCCTGTCTGCTCTGACCCTCTGAGGTTCTTCGGCAGCGGGCTCAAATGGCATTAATTATAAGATGCTTCTTCAGCTCCCTCCATGCATATTTCAGGATTTACTGAATAATGTACAAATGACCGTATCTGGAAGGAGAATTCAGTCAATCCTCGAGTTCTTCCTATTCTTCTATTAGTTCTATCCTATTATTCAAAAGAAGTCTTCCTGACTTCTTTTGTTCTTCCTATTTGGAAACCAGGTTCTCTAAGTCCATCTTCTAAGGATTTCCGCCCCATTGCTCAGACTGATGTGGTTCTTAGAACACTATCGCCACTTTTCCCATTCTTAAGTTGTTAGTCGCAAGTGTCACGGCACAACTTATGTATTAGTGAACTTGGAGGTCTATATTCGTACTGCTTTTGATGCAAAGACTTCCATTGTTGTCCTTTTTTGACCTGGCTTATGACACCACCTGGTGATACCATATTCTGTCCAAAACTCTGTTCTTTTGGCCTTCGTGTTAATGTCCTTCTCTGCCTGTAAAGCTTCCCCTCTAGTCGTTCCTTTAGAGTGAGGCTTGGTACCCCGCTCTCTCTGACTCTTTTCGGCAGTACGAAGGTGTGCCCCAGGGTAGTGTTCTGAGCACTACTCTTTTCCTGGTTGCCCTCAATGGTCTTCTTTCCTCTGGCATTTTATCAGCTCTATATGCTGACGATCAGCTGTCAAGGTGATGACTCGCTGTGACTTTTACTCGGAAACATGTCAATCTTCTTCCCTCTTTGTCGTTCTATGGTGATCCCTTTATGTATAAAGATTTCGCTGAACATCTGGAGTTAATCTTTGAGACGGTTGCCTTGGTCGCCCCATATCTCTCACCTCCGAGGTGAATACCTAAGTCCCCATAACTTTCTTGGTCGTGTCCCTTACTACCTAGGGCGCTGATGTTTGCTCATCTATTCACATTACTTTCTCATGTTGTCTAAACTCAATTATCGCTCTCTGATAAATTGATAAACCCGAGTGTTTTGTTGGTTTTAACTCTAATTTTGTTTTCACAATGCTGTCAAAAATTTATAATGGCTAAGGGTAACCTTCTTTCTCCAGTTTAAAGCAATCTATATATATATATATATATGGAGTTCTATGAAAAATTACTATTGAGGAAAATGTTGTTTTCTAATGTTACATGGTTTCGTTATCTTGATGTATTTTGCTTATCGCTTCAGAATAGAAACCTGGACGCATTCTGTTAGAATTAAATAATTAAGCCCCATCAATTACGTTTACAATGGAAATGGAACAAGACAACACTTTACCATTCTTAAATGTGATAATTATAAATGTAAAAATAATTTCAAGTTTTCTGTATATAGAAACCAACAAATATTGGGTCTTGTGTACACTTGTACTCATCATCCAAGAGTAAAACAAGCTGGGTGTTGTTCCATGTTTCTGAGGGCTCTAAGGGTGTGTGCTCCTCAGTCTATACATCATGAAATCGTTGCTATGTATAGTCTAGGGTTCAATTTACAATACCCTAAGTCATTTATTGATTAAGTTAGCCAAATTGTTCATAACACTTTCTTTGGTTTGATAAAGAAGGAAGTCAATATTAACACAATAGTTCTGCTATTTCCTGATAATTTCAATTCAATTCCTAAATTACTAAAACAATTTTATATCAGTGTAGACTCTAGGAATCTTGATAAAAAACACATTTGTAATTGTTAATTGCATTGGTAGTTGCAATGGATGTGTGTGTGTGTGTGTGTAACTCTCCAAAGTTCATTTTTACCTTTTATTTATGGTCTGACGCCTAGAAGCGTTTCGTAAGACACTTCTTACGTTTTCAAAGACAATTTTACATACTCTGTTAATGCTTAT